ACTAGTGTATCATATATCATCATGTATATATCTAGCCTTAAGTGTGAACTTTAACAGCACCATCCCTGATCACTGCAAGTTAGTCGGTTAGTTGGTTGAATTCGAAGGCCAAAGTTTGCTTCGGCAAGTTCAATGTCGGACATGTACGCAATTGAAGGGAAGGGGTGTTTTTGCAATTTTTGCGTACTGCTATTGTTGAACTCAGAGGAAGCATATCGAAGGTGGAGGGGCATACATTGGCCAAAAGAGGCACTTTTATATATGACCATGCCAAAAAGCCCAAAAGCAAACGATTTTATGTCGTTCACTAGCCGAACGAAAATTTCTGAAAATATGGAATCTTTAATTTATAACGTCGGAAATGGCCTTTACAGGGTCTTTACTGCTGCAAAAAGGGCAGTATTTTTCCAGCAAAAGAGGGCGTTCATTCAATTAAGAAACACTTTTTTCGTTCTTTAAATGGAGCATTTTAGCCCAGAAAAAGGGCACTTTTTTCCCTTTTAAAAAAACTGGGGTGGGGTCACATGCTCCCATTGCCCTCCGGGTTCCGAGACCCCTGGTTGAACTGATGTCATTTCTATTGTTCTTCGCGCACAAGGAAAGAGGGAGGGGGTAAAATTTTCAGAAATTTTTGCGCAGGAACCGTATCACCCTTCCACCCTACCACTGTCTTATTTTTTGCTGCAGGTAGATGTAAAACAGTCAGATCTAATCAGAAACCAGGTTAGAATCCAAGCTACAATCATTTTCAAAAGTTGTTGGGACACATGTAGTTTTAGATTGTGAGTGGATGATTACAGTTTGTTACACACAATACCGCTCCCCTCCCCTCCCCTCCCTTCCCCCCCCCCCATATCAATGTTGCTTAAACCAAAACACATCAAATCGTACGAGAAATGGCACACAACATTGAATAGGGGGCGGGGGGGGGGATTGACGTTTGTTGAAATTGAAAGGTTTTGTGGCATCTGTCCCAAGACATTCGAAAACTGATTGTAAGGGAGGAGTTAGCGTTCCAGTTGAACTGCAAGTTCAATGACCTAACACACACCCGTCTTTGTACCTACGAGCCCGGGATCCCAGACAAAGCCGATTAGCCGTTCAAAGTCAAAGATACAAGAACGGAGATTTACAATAATTGTGCAAATTTCAATCCTTATATTTTTTCTTCCATCCTTTTATTTACTGAGAAAAGAGCAACGTATTTTTATTCTAAATATACTTGACTTTCACTAAATACAAAAGTGCAGAAGTTAAATACGAAGCCAAGAACAAAATTAATATGGCAACTGCTACGACTGAAAATATTTCAAATAAAGCTAACATGCGAAGGTACGTTCTTTATTTCGTGATTCTTTATTACCATTTCATCAATTTGTCTTGCTAACAAGTTATATCTACACCTGTAGAGACGTGGCGGACAGCTGGAAGACCAAATTAAACCTACCACCTAAAGATAGACGTGTAAAAACTACAGTAAGTTCACAACCTTCACTTGTTGGTTGAATGAATTGCCACCAGTTTCATGTATTTTATGCTTTGTCTACGTGCCATTTGTGTACATATATAATCATTTCTTGTTTTCCTGTCTTTTATTTGTTGTTTAAGTAGTTGAAGTATTATTCTTTGCCATGTACATAAAATACAAACACATTATAAATAATAATATTGCTATTTCGACATCATAAAATTTATATAACGTCACAGGTCCAGTGCAGTTTCATTTTTACTGTAAATAGGCAGTTTGATGATATTTATGTTTAATATCGCAGAAATACTTCTGAGTTTCCAGGGGACCATTTAAAGTAAGCAAGTTAAGTTAATTCTTGATCAGAATGTTTGATTTGTGCTGGAAAGAATGCAGGAACACAATAGCCGAATTCATCTAGATGGAAACATGCAAAGGAAACCATTGGACTATTAATAAACCTGGAAAATCCGGAAACTCTCAATCCAACAGCAAACTTCAAGACCTCAATTCTTCAGCGTAATTCATAGTGACGTTTTATGTCAATTTTTGCCTTTTCTACAGCATTTCACATTGACCTATCAATTTAATCAATAGCTGCTATGGAAAACAGGACTCGCGTATGGGCCCGCTCTCACAACATGTTGTTACAATTTCTTTAAATTTATGTTAGATTTATGGGAATAAAATTTCTGATTTTCATCATTCTGTGATTCTGTAATGTGGCTCCTCATAATGCAATAGATTTTTTTATTAGACAATTTTAAATTGTTTCTCATAACATTTCAATATGTAATTGTATAATAATTGACTAACAAAACAATCTAAATAGAACAAACAAAAATATTACAAAATGGCTAAACTGACAAAAAACACCAATTACACCATCAAGGTTCATCAAGTCAGAGGATTGTCACAGTTATATGTGTTCAATAGTGTGTTCTTATAGTACAATTTCAGTCCTGATTTAAAAGCATAAAAACCAATGTTTCTGGCTCAAAGGTTATCACTCGTGGCAGACCCTCAATTGGGAAAGACTGTCTGCCGGGTTTGGCTATGTATTTTCAGGGTGTTAACTAGCCCATATACTGTCCGTTTGACGGACTCTTCCTAGAGTGGATCGATATCGCAAATACCGAATACCAATATACCGCCATCAGAGTACCGGTAAATACCGGTATTTTTAACGTGGTTTTTTTTAAGCCAAACTGAACTGCTGACCATCGAGAAAAATAAAGTTTTGACAAAATATTAATATGGCACAAACTGTTATTAGTTAGTGCAAATGTCACAAGATTCGCATTATCAAGGTATGTTAACGGCGCTAAGCGGGAATTATTAGTAGGCCGTCGATTGGGCATCGAAGTGTTGAATTTGTGAGTATTAACTTTGCTTTCTAAACGTGATTGTAAGCAAGTTTGACTTGAAATAGCGTTTCAATTCGGTATTAGGCAGCAAAATACCGAAATGTCGGTATATCGGTATTTTTAAATTGTCAATATCGCCAAACCGGTATCTAAACAAATACCGGTATACCGA